GCCAAAAAGTGGAATCGCGCTAATCCCCATCAGAGCTCACTTAGCGCGATTAGAAAACCAAGACTTAAACCGTCATAAAGCGTGCATAGCGCAATGAACCTTATGCTTAACACAAAAGATGTGTTTTCCCCACTGCCTAGGTTTCTCTAAGCATGGCAGGACCGCACTTAGCTGGCTTTGCAAAACTCAACTTCTTCCAAAATGCAACTTTGGGTATTGCTTTGTGCTTTTAAGTATCCAATGATTCCAATAGGCTATGATGAGATTACCTCATCTACTTAGGCAAGTTCTTAATAAAAAGACATTAGCCGGCCTTTCAAGTATAACTGCTCTTCGGACATTATTTGTGAAAAATATTTGTACACGAAGAAGAAAGATGATGATCTAATTAAATCTTTAAATATGCTTCATGATTAAAGGAGACTACTAGGAAGAAACGGTCCTTAAAATTCTTCACAATATTAGAGTAAGGCCTAAATTTCTTGGTACTCTTACGCAAGGAAATCACACCAAAACTACTTGGGTAACTCGTCACGGGAAAAAGGGACCAACCTGGTGCAGTAAGAATGGACGTCTCGATTGGAGTGAGATGCATACTAATACTTCAGAAACAAACTTCTATAGAAACAAGAAGACTTGACAGAGGAGTAGCACAAAGTGATACGAGATTATAGCGTAAGAGGCCTCATTAGAAGAAAAAATGCCCTAGAAAATCACCACAGTCTTGCGTGAAAAGGTTGAACCAAGGATTTTCTGAATTGAGGCTAATGAGCCCTTGGTCATAAAAGTTATCCTGAGAGGACCACTTTAGGTGGAAAATATTAAAGAACAATCTAAGGGAAAGTTTCCAAGACTTATGCTCCACACACAGCTAGAATAGCCGCATGAAATCCAAGACCTCAGACGAAGTTAGGAAGGAGCAACCTTTAAATGTCTTAGGATGACCACTTCAAAATCAGAAAAAAAAAGCCATAATCATACCCATCGTGAACAAGCATTCATGAAGCGGGACCGCACAATCGTCAAAGAAGTTGCATATCTTCTTCTTTGGACCCATAAGAAGAACTGACCAATCATGAAGATCATCGACCATGAGGCCAACAACATTTATTGTCGCCATTGTGTTCAAGACAAACAAAGTACCTACCACCCCCCACATCCACCCAGTCATACTTTACTGTATCGGTTGTCTCCACTAACGTCAATCCTTTTTGGGACAAATGGTCGATCTTAGAATATTCGTGGGGCATGATCTAAGACATTGCGTCTGGCCAACCTCGAAGATCCAAATATGACTTCACTTCAGTGTCACTAGGTTCATAGTTATTGGATCTCAAGAAATATTGAATGTAACTTTAAGCACACTCTCTCATCTACCTGTTAGCCTGCATTTCCCCCTCGGTTAAGATGGGAGGAGGCATAGAGTCCTAAACATGATTCACCTCTCCGCCGAAATTTGATAAAATATCTTCTAATGAGTCAGATGAATATGCTACTTCGTCTAGATAATTCCCAAATACCTTTTCTGAGTTAGAGTCATCAGATAAAGGTATTGTTAGACGACAGGCTTCGATCTAGAAGGGGGTGAATAGATCACAAATTTAAAACCAAAAACTGTTGGCAAAAGTTTATTTTCAAAAAAGAAGGCACATCAGACACAATCCAAATCAAATCGTCTAATCGAACCTACTATCAAAAATCTTGGATTTGCGTAATGAAAACCAATGGAATGATAATGAACACAAATTATTCAATCAACAATTAATTACGAATCAATCAAATGCAACACTATTCATAATGATTATTTTCAATAAACACAAATCGATAAAAATACTCAAACACAATTTATCAAACACTTTGTGTGCGATTGATCCCGTTTGGAAATTCGATTTATTATGTTGATATAGAAAGCCAATCACAATCAAAGTGATTGTGATTTTATCAACAACAACAATTTAAAAGATAGTTGAAAACAATTTTGAATCGAATTAATCAAAACAACAACAAAATCAATAATTTGTAAGAACAACAATTAAAGAAAAGTAAAACGATAAAGAGACACAAATATTTGTTTAAGTAGTTCCCCAATTGGCCTTGCTATGGGTAATTCCGCCCTCAATCCGAAATTGAATTGAGATACTTTCAATTAACCTTATCTTTGCAAAAATATTTATACAAGAGGTGAAGAACTCTAACCCCATAAACCTTATTGCTTGTTGTTAATTCAACCACCTCCAAACCCTTAATCAAAGCTTGATCAAGTCACCAAAAAAGCGGCTACAATCCTCCAATTATCCTGAGCACGCACTTCTTGAACCCAAGATTTCCGGACATGATTCACTATCTCACACTACTCCCTTGCAAGGAAACCACTTTGTGCCAAGGCCTTCACTTGGTCGAATCCGTGTTGACGTGATCTTGTATAAAACCTTCAAATCACACCGATCTTGAAGGAAAACCCCACCTTGGTTTTCTTATTTGAAACACATAAAGATCTCAATCCAATATTCTCGGTTACACCAACCTAATTGGATATTATCAATCTTAATCTAGATGGTCACCTAATCGAAAAATGATTATGTGTAGTTCAATTGTGTGTATGCATAGAAGAGAGGTTGAAGATGATGAGAATGCTTTGTAATATGGTTTCGTATAGGTAGTTCATTAGTACCTTGCTAGATGAAGGTACATGGTTGAGTATATATATAGGTATGTGTTGAAAAATGAACAAAAGGAATGCAATAAGTTGGAGCAAGAAAGAAATTTTTAAGTTGGAAAATCGTATAGGTCGACCTATCAAAGTAATAGGTCGACCTGTCAATGCAATCAGATCAGCCTATCAAGGTCTCAGGTCGGCCTATGGAGGTTGTGTTGCGTATAAGTCGGCCTGTGTGAGGCGACTTGTGGACAGAAGCTACAGGCTTCAATACTGCTCCATGGGAGTCGTCCTGAAATGCTATAGGTCGGCCTATACTAGATCTGAAAGTCATATAGGTCGGTCTGTTTATGCATGTGTCGGCCTGAAAAGGTTTGACTACCCAAAAACATATTTTTCAATGAAATTTTGATGCAAGCTTCTTTTCCAACTTACTTGAATGATTCCTAACACGAAGATTCACATCTAGAATGGGATGATACTGTCCAATATACATAACGTTACACTATCCTAGTTTTGACATCACTGACAATCCAAAAACACTCATATGTATAGATTCATTTTTCAGGAGATCATGATCAAGAGGAGGGAGATGAAAATCAGGGGATGTCTCCATTCTCTAGGAAGACAAAGTTTCACTCTCAGAATCGCTCACTATGTTGATTGTACTATCACTCACTCTGACTAGAAAATAGGAAAAACTAAAAATAAAAACTTGAGTTGATGAGGATACCTAGTTGTGTAAGATTGAGGAAGCATATAAACTGTATTCACTCTAAGAAAGGAAGAGGAAAAAATGTTTGTCAATAAAGTGTATGTGAATGAGTTTGAATGATAATGATTATGAAAAGTTTCCAAAACATTCAACTCATCCTATTTATAGGCGAGAACGGTTGGGCGACACATATTAGCTAAAGAAAGGAGTTAAGAAGTCAATGACTACATTTCTCCTCAAGGATACATGCAAACTCGAGTGTACTCAAGTGCACTACAAGCTACTCCATGCCCTAATTTGTCACATCAACACACATGTCAAAAGAAGGCGACGAAACATTTCAATGATGAAAATACATTTAATGCGCTTGTTTCTCACTATTTTTTCAACTAACTCCAAACGTTTCAAATATAGCTCACCTCGAAAAATATCTTAGAGGCCGACCAAAATCGCTAAAGGCTTCCCCAGCTCACTTAGTACTCGACAAAACCTTGGGGGCAACTGTTTAGGGTCGGTTAAAGGTCCAGATAACTATGGCCTAATTCATCTCAAATCCACTCTATGTGGCTTAAGGTATAAATCAATTCACACAAGAAAGCAAGATACACTTTCTAATCTCCATTTTTCATTACCCTCTTCTTGAATCTTGAATTAACTTCGACGTTAAAATATTAACCATGCAAGTTCACCCCGTACCGCCGTACCATAAATCATCTCCAATAACTTAAGAGGTTCAATTTATCAACTGCATCCATTTATGATTCCTGAACAAATATATATATATATATATATATATATATATATATATATATATATATATATATATATATATATATATATATATATATATATATATATATATATATATATATATATATATATATATATATATATATATATATATATATATATATATATATATATATATAAAATGACTACATCTTTTAGTAATTATTAAATAAATAAAAAATTAAACATAGTATTGTGAATGAGAAAGGTAATCTAATTTAAACTTTTAATAATAAAAGTTAATATAGTATTACATCTTGTGTTATATATCTTTTCAACATTTAACCTTTAGATTTAAAATTTATTATTCCTAAATTTGAAAAAGAAACATGTGAATTATATATATCAGTATGGATTAAAATAAATAAATAAATTAAATTTCATTTTAGTACATTTATTATATGTTCTATGAGTTTTTTAAATAACACATTGATAAAACAAAATATATGCAACTCGTTGATAATGTCTATTGTGATGTAAGTTAGGATCTTTTCAATTTGTAAACAAACAAACAAGAGTGCCTTCGAAAAGAAAGACGCGAAAGTTGTTTACATTATTACACCCTCAAACGACATCGTTTATTTTGCCACACAGATCCACGACAAATCTGGTTCTCTTCGAACCCCTCTTTCCCTCAATTTCAATTTGGAAGCTTTTTCCATTATTGCTTGCTGAATTGCTTCCAAAATCTCGGTTAGCGAACTTCTTCATTATCTGTTTCTCTTTCATATTGTTCCATTTCTTTCTATTCATGTATCATGTTACTAATTGTTATTTTTTGTGGCTGTTTTTGATTTGCATGATTTTAGAGGTTTGAATTGTGATTTGATATAACAAACAATGGTGAAGGAAACTGCTTACTATGATACATTAGGTGTTGATGTTGATGCATCTGCTGCAGATATCAAGAAGGCTTATTATGTCAAGGTAATAATAATAATAGTAATAATCAATGATTGATTATTACCCTTCAATTTTATCATAAACTTAGATTCGAGGATTTGGGAATTTGATTATAGTTTGGGAAATTGGGACAAACAAATTTAGATAACTTTTTAATTGGATAATGGAGTTTACACATGGGTAATTAAGTGTTGGATTTGGTTAATAGATAAGATATATCAATTGTTGCAACTTATTACTAACATATACTAAACTTTATTAACCGTGGTTTTTAAGTGTTTGATCTATGTGTAGTTGGCACATTTGAAATTGGGGTTAATAATGTGTTTAAATTTGTGATTAAGTTTAGTTGGTGGTTAATGAGTTATCCAATTTTGATGTACCCGTTAATTACTTGTTGAATTGTGTTTACCACATGTGTGAACTTCTTTAAGAATTGAAAAAGTTGTCGAGTTTTGTTGTCTCAAATTGATGTTAAAATAACATTTCTGTTTGAGTATATAGTTTGTTTGTATTTTAGAAGCAATCAGGGTACTTGTGTTAAATATGGCTTTACTTTGTTGGCAAATTTTTACTCATTATGAGATTGGTATTACTCGAAAGTTCGTGTAACTCAGATCCTTTGGTTTGCTTAAGATGCTATGGTGCCCTTGTTTGAGTTATTTATCAAGTTTTGAATTCAATAAGCACCTAAGAATGGACTCTTGATGTTGCCTAGTAATCTTGCCATGTCTGTAACTGAAAATTTCTTCACCTCCAGACAATATTTAATTGAATATGTGATTTTTTTTTTGAGCTTTTGCACCGGGGTTTGGGTCAATTGTAGGAAAGGTTAAAGAAAAGAGCACTTGCTTCTACTTACTTTGAGGTTGGATGGATATTTATAGATGATTTGCTGGTTTAGTCATTGAAATTATAGGTGTGAGACGCTGTGGCCCCTAAAATTAACAAATAATCCCTAATATTGTAAATCTTCTCTTAGAATTTTGGGTTGAACATAACTCAACCTTACAAAATCGACTTGTAAGGTGAGGCTTCATGTCACTTATAAACATATGTTTAGGCCATATCTCATCTGGTGTGAGACTCTTAACACATCCTTCACTCCCAACACTATTGAACTTGGTTTATGGACTTGATAACAGAAATCTGATATAGATGCCCAACAGATCTTGGATAAACTTTGATATGATCTTAGAATTTTAGGCTGACCCTGACTAAACCTTACAAATTCGGCTTGAAATGTGAGGATTGCCCCCACTTATAAGCATATGTTCAACCCATATCTCATAAGATGTGAGGCTCTTGACATCTTTGATCACATTAGTTCTTTCAGAATGGTCAATTTAGTCCCTAAACTTATCTTAGATGAACTATTGTGACCAAGAATTTTTAATTTCGTTTCGTTAGTTTTCAGGACCAAATCAACCAATTTCTATTCACTTAATACTTAGAATACTACCCTTCTTATTTTTCTTCTTCTAATTATCCAATCTAAAAGGTTTAGGAGGTCGGCGGTTTGAGTTGTGGAATCATCGTCATGCAAATGCAAGATAAGACTGCCTGTAATAGATCTGCAATGGATCTGACCCTTCGATAGGTTCTTCCATATACAGAGCTTTATAGCACCAAACAGCCCTTTCATTAATTTTTTCTTTTTCTTCTGTTTTACAGGCAAGAATAGTTCACCCTGATAAAAATCCTGGGGATCCCAAGGCTGCAGAAAATTTTCAGGTATGCACTAAGAGTCCATGTTTCGACTTCACAAAACTAGCCAATATTTCTGGATTTTATTAACAAAATTATTTACATCTTTCTTAAGATTAGATATTCAGAAACAGTATTAAATATTTACACCTTTGGGAACCTCTCTCTATTCAGTTTTATTTCTTTATTTATTTTTTTGGGTACTTTTCTAAGTTTGGTATCTGTACCAGCTGCTTGGCGAGGCCTACCAGGTTTTAAGCGATCCCGATAAGCGTGAAGAATATGACAAGAATGGAAAGGAAGGAGTGTCACAGTAAGTTTATTGAACCTTACATGACTGAAAAGTAATTAGGCTCCATAACGTCTTCCATTGATTTTCTCTTTTATCTTCACCATATTCAATTGAGTCAGTGTCTTCCATTGATTTTTGTTGAATATTAGCACAAAATCAAAACAGATTCTGTCATACAGCTCATTATGGCTGGATTCAAATTGTGATTAAATAGAAATTAATTGTATTATTATATTCTTACCTTATTTAGGATTAGCATTTATAGGGAGAATAATTACCCCTATTTCTTAGTGTAATTTATATTCTATAAATACTCATGTACTATGTTACAGAATAGATATAATAGAGAAAAAGCATATTTCTATATGGTATCAGTAGCAACAAGAATCCTTTAGGGTTTTTTTTTGTTTTTGCTTCCGCTCTGTTTATCTTTTTTACATCCCACAATGTCTGATACCGAGTCCTCACTTTCACCCAAACATTCCTCACCCGAACCTAAATTAGTCCGAACGTACCATGAAAACCACCCTGTTCAGATCACAACAATTCGGCTGAACGGTGCTAATTATCTTCGATGGTCGCAATCCGTTCGTATGTATCTCAGGGGGAGAGGAAAGATTGGCTACATTACTGGCGACAAAAAACAACCAGACAAGGCAGGTGCAGATTATGATACATGGGATGCTGAAAACTCCATGGTCATGACATGGTTAGTCAACTCCATGGATGAAGAGATAGGTGCAAATTATCTCTGTTATGATACTGCAAAAGAACTTTGGGAAGGTGTCTCCCAAATGTACTCTGATTTGGAAAATCAATCCTAAATCTACGAATTAACTCTCAAATTGGGAGAAATTCGGCAAGGTGAAGATTCAGTCACCAAATACTTCAATTGTCTCAAACGTATTTGGCAAGATTTGGACCTTTTCAATGAGTATGAGTGGAAATCACCTGCCGATAGCAAACATTACAAGAAGATGGTGGATGTTAGTCGTGTTTTCAAGTTCCTTGCGGGTCTAAATGTTGATTTTGATGAGGTTCGTGGCCGAATTCTAGGCAGAAATCCTATCCCTCCAATTGGTGAAGTCTTTTCAGAAGTACGTCGCGAAGAGAGTCGTCGGCAAGTGATGCTTGGCAAAAATACAGCAGCTGTCCCTCCACCAGTTGAAGGATCTGCCTTGGCAATTCCCCATGTCAATCGTAAACCACTTCATAATCAACGAGGTGGAGACAAGACTCATTTATTTTGCGATTACTGTGGGCGCAATCGCCACACTCGGGAAACTTGCTACAAACTACATGGGCGACCAAATCATGGCAAGGCTGGTAAGTTTGGTGATCGTCCTATGCCTATGGCCAATGAGGCTGATTCGTCTCCATGTACGAAGGAGCAAATGGATAACCTTCTTAAGTTTCTAAAGTCCAATTCATCTCTTAATATCCCTACTGGAACTGTGGCACAAACAGGTAAGGATTCTTGGGCACTATCTGCTCACAACCACTCTAACCCTTGGATAATAGATTCAGGGGCATCTGAACACATGACTAATTGCTCTCATCTATTCAGTACCTATTTTCCTAGTTCAGGTTTTGAAAAAGTTAGGATAGCTGATGGTAGTTATTCAAGTATTGCAGGCAAAGGCAGCATAAAAATTTCAGAGCAAATCACTTTGCAATCTGTTTTACATGTTCCTAAATTCGCTTGTAATCTTCTATCTGTTCATAAATTGTCTAAGGACACTAATTGTTCTGTTCTTTTTCGTCCCTCTACTTGTGTTTTTCAGGACCAGAACTCGGGGAAGACGATTGGAACTGCTAGAGAGATGAATGGATTGTACTACCTTGATGGAATTCAGTTTGACAATAAAGCGTTTTTCGGTTCAAACAGTACAAACGCATCTCCTGTTTCAGATCAAATTATGTTATGGCATAAAAGATTAGGTCACCCTAGTTTTTCATATCTTAAGCATTTGTTTCCTATTTTTCCAAAGAAATAAATTCCTCACAATTTCATTGTGAAGCTTGTCACTTAGCTAAAGATCATCGTGTGTCTTTTAAATCAAAAGCCTATTCTGCTTCTAAACCTTTTTATTTAATTCACAGTGATGTTTGGGGTCCTTCAAAAATTAAAACTATGTCTGGAAAAAAATGGTTTGTAACATTTATTGATGATCATACACGGCTGTGTTGGGTTTATCTCATGGAGAAAAAATCAGAAGTTGAACAAAGATTTCAAGATTTTTTTAACATGATTAACAATCAATTTCAAACTAAGATTGGCATTCTAAGGTCTGACAATGGCACTGAATATTTCAACAAATATTTAAGTACATTCCTTGTAAATAAGGGGATAATTCATCAATCCACTTGTCGCGATACTCCGCAGCAAAATGGTATTGCTGAAAGAAAAAATAGACATCTCCTCGAAGTCACTAGAGCTATTATGTTTTCTATGAATGTACCTAAGTATCTTTGGGGAAATGCTTTATTAACTGCTTGTTACCTCATCAATCGAATGCCATCTCGGGTGTTACAATATGAAAGTCCTGTACAAGTGTTACAAAACAATTTTTCTACATCTCGTATTATTACGGATCTTCCCCTTAAAATTTTTGGTTGTCTTTGTTATGTTTACATCCCCAATGTTTTTCGTTCTAAGTTGGATCCTAAAGCCGAAAAATGTGTTTTTCTTGGCTATGCTTCCAATAAAAAGGGATACAAATGTTTTAACCCAGTTACAAAGAAATTTTTTGAAAGCATGGATGTTCACTTTGTTGAAAATCAACCTTTTTTTAAAAATTCTCTTCAGGGGGAGAGTCAATGTAATAATAAAGAAGATAATTTTTGGGAAACTTTGCCTGCTCTAGATGATATTGTGACTACAAATCACCCAAATGCTAAGATAATAGAATCTGAAACAGGGGGAGAAACACTGATTAAGGATGATAATCCTGAACTTAAAGTGTATGTTCGAAAAAAATTCCACAAAGGTGGTGCAAACCCTATTGTCTCTCCAGTAGAAATCCAATCTGATTTACCAAGTGAAGGTCCTACAGATAATCTGTCTTCTAGTTCTTCATCTGGTAATCCTTCTTACTCATCCAATGATTTATCTGATTTGTCTTTTCCTGATATTAATCTTCCAATTTCTGTGAGAAAAAATATTCCTGACCTTGATGTCCCAATTGCTGAGAGGAAAGGTTCTCGTATGTGCACTAAACATCCTATGTCTAATTACTTGTCATATGACAAACTATCACACACCCATAAGGCATATGTGTCTAGGATTTCTAATTTGTTTGTGCCCAGAACTATTCAGGAAGCATTAAGTGATCCGAATTGGAAATTAGCAGTGAAAGAAGAGATGGATGCTCTAAACAAAAATAACACTTGGAGTATCACTGATCTACCACAAGATAAAAAGGCAGTAGGGTGTAAGTGGGTCTTTACAGTGAAATGCAAGGCTGATGGAAGTGTGGAAAGATACAAAGCGAGATTAGTAGCAAAAGGATTTACTCAAACTCATGGTATTGATTACCAAGAGACTTTTGCCCCAGTTGCTAAGATCAATTCTATCAGAATTCTTCTTTCTCTTGCAGTAAATTTCAACTGGACACTATATCAATATGATGTTAAAAATGCCTTCTTGAATGGTGAATTACATGAAGAAGTATATATGAGTTTACCTCCTGGATTTGAAAAAAATCTTGGAAGAAACAAAGTATGCAGATTGAGAAAATCCCTATATGGATTGAAACAATCGCCAAGGGCCTGGTTTGAGAGATTTGGAAGTGTTGTTAAGAGACACGGTTTCACCCAAAGTCAAGCAGATCACACTATGTTCTTTAAACACTCATCTGAAGGTAAGATTGCTATCTTAATAGTGTATGTTGATGACATTATTATTACAGGAGATGACGTCAAAGCAATTAGTGATCTGAAGAGAAGACTTGAGGCTGAGTTCGATATCAAGGATCTTGGAAAGTTAAAATACTTTCTTGGGATGGAGTTCGCAAGATCTAAAGAAGGTATTTTTCTCAACCAGCGCAAGTACATACTCGATTTACTTGCAGAAACAGGGATGACAGGGTCTAAAGCAGTAGAAACACCAATGGATCCCAATGTGAAACTAAAGTCAGTTGCTGAAGATGAAATAGTAGATAAAGAACGTTATCAACGATTGGCTGGAAGACTAATTTATTTGTCACATACAAGGCCAGATATAGCCTTTGCAGTGAGTGTAATAAGCCAATTTATGCATGCACCAGGTGCAGCCCACTTTGAAGCTATTTTCAGAATATTAAGATATTTGAAAGGTACTCCGGGAAAGGGGCTGATATTCAGAAATAGAGGACATATACAGGTTGAAGCCTATACAGATGCTGATTGGGCAGGTAATATAAATGATAGAAGGTCTACCTCAGGATATTGTACTTTTGTAGGTGGAAATCTAGTTACATGGAGGAGCAAAAAACAAAATGTTGTAGCCAGGAGCAGTGCAGAAGCTGAATTCCGATCTGTGGCCCATGGTTTTTGTGAAGTATTATGGATCAAAAAGTTCATGGAAGAATTGAAGTTCTTTGGCCCAACTCCAATTAAAGTTTACTGCGATAATAAGGCTGCTATTTCTATTGCCCATAATCCTGTCCTACATGACAGGACGAAGCATGTTGAAGTGGACAAGCATTTCATCAAAGAAAAAATTGACAGCGGTGAGATTTGTATGTCCTACATACCTACCAAAAGTCAAGTAGCAGATGTTCTCACAAAGAGTCTTCCAAAGAGACTGTTTGATAACATGGTGTGCAAGTTTGCTATGAACGATATATTCATGCCAGCTTGAGGGGGAGTGTTGAATATTAGCACAAAATCAAAACAGATTCTGTCATACAGCTCATTATGGCTGGATTCAAATTGTGATTAAATAGAAATTAATTGTATTATTATATTCTTACCTTATTTAGGATTAGCATTTATAGGGAGAATAATTACCCCTATTTCTTAGTGTAATTTATATTCTATAAATACTCATGTACTATGTTACAGAATAGATATAATAGAGAAAAAGCATATTTCTATAATTTTCTCTTTTATCTTCACCATATTCAATTGTGAGTCAGTGTCTTCCATTGATTTTCTCTTTTATCTTCACCATATTCAATTGACTCAGATTGAAAGTGGAATAAGAAATATGCGATATTCACTCAATACACTTTATGCACGTTCCTTTTCTGATGTTGGAAGTTCTGCCTTAATTGCGGTATGTCCCAAGTTGTCTTGTTGCAAATTTGGGATGCCTTCATTGCATCCTCCAACAGCTTCACTGTGTTGGGTGTGAGGGGGTGGGTAGAGATTTGGCCTACGTAGTGCCTATAAAGCTTGGACAATCTGTCAGAATCTATGAAGCATGGATTCTGACACGTACACCAGAACACGACACAACATGCACACTCCGACACCGATAATCTCAAAAACATAGAACACCGACACTGCTACATATATGATATTATTTAACCTTCATTTATCCATCTATTATTGAAAGAGTTACAAATATTCTAATAAAAATTAATGCTTTCAGTTCTTCATTGATAACATTGCTTCATTACATGTTTAACCTTTTTATGTGTATGAGATTCGTCCAAAACATATATAAGGTGTGTTGAAGCAAAGAAAATTAATATTTTTTTGAAACTTTTGTCTGAATTATCTAACAAGTGTTGTATGAGTGTTAGACACCGATTCATAAAGCGTCGAAACAAATTTTTTTTTTTTTGGAGACACTTGTCTGACTTTTTCGACACGTGTCGTATGAGTGTCACTTGTGGAGACACTCTCTTTTTCAGAATTTATTAAGGAACATCTCAAGATTAGCGATTTGGATAGAAATATGGTCCTTGATAGAACATTATGGCGAAAGTTGACCCATGTAGCCGACCCCACTTAGTGGGATAAAGCTTGGCTATTGTTGTTGTTGGTTATACTCACTGCCCAACCCTTATTTTCCCTCACTTCTCACATTCATCACACAGTTCATTACAAGAGAGTTCCTAACATTGTGTTTTTTCAACACAAGGAAGGGGTTCCTAACCTCAATTTTCTTTTGTTGTTCTTTTAAGTTAGAAAGATCTAACCAAATTTTGGAGAAACTTCTTGAAGATATTAGTGTGCATTTGAGGTTGCTCTTATGTTATAATCACGGTTTTAATGATGATTTTTCTTTTAAAAAGAAAGTAATTCACCTCAAAATCAAATATGCACTTAGAGAAAGTTGTACAGCTGTCTGCTTCAAGAAAAACTATAATTAGACCTTGCTATGCCAGACCAGACCTTGTAGACTTTCCACTATGTTGAGAGATTGAAATACCCCATTTAGTCTTACTAAACATCAATTTATTTAGATGTTGAGAGGATGAAATACCCCATTTTGTATTGCAATGGAACATAAAATTATATGCAAGAGGAGATGATGCAGAATAGATTTAGAACACTTATATTATTCTTGTTTATCAATTTGATGGTAATAGTATTAAATATCTCAGATATCATATCATTCCACAAGTCACGCGGTTTAAATATCGTAGGTCCGTAATACAAAACAATAAAGAAATAGGAGATGTAAACCATTGAATTTAAGCTGGGTGGCTGAAATGAATGATTGAAATGGAGGAGGGCTTCAGGAATTTTATGTGACACAAAAATGCTGCTAAAGTTGAAGGAACAATTTTATCGGACTGCGGTAAGATTGTGATATTGTACGGGAGAGAGTGTTGGGCAGTTAAGAATCAACATGAAAATAAAGTAAGTGTAGCAGAGATGAGTATGTTGCGTTGGATGTGTGGTAAGATTAGACAAGTTAAGATTATAAATGAAAATATTAGAGAGTGTTGGAGTAGCATCTATAGTAGAAAAGATGATGGAAAATAGACTTATGTGCTTTAAACATGTAGAGAGAAGATCTATAGATTATGTGGTAAGGAGAGTAAATTAGATGGAGAGGAGTCAAAGAGTTAGAGGTAGAGGAAAACCTAGAAAAACGGTTAGAGGAGTTATTAAGAAAGATCTCTAGATTAACGATTGGGATAGAAACATTGTTCTGACTAAACATTATGGCAGAAGTTGATCCATATAATCGACCCCATTTAATAAGATAAGGCTTGGTTGTTGTTTATTAGAATCTAGGCCCCACTCAAATCTTAAAGCCAGCTCAATGGGTAGGATTTCCCAAACCCCTTGTATTGAATACTTTGGCTATATTTGCTAGTCAATGTCAATATGGGATCTCATCTATCTAGGCCCCTACAAGTGGAAACGGCCAACCATCAAAAACTTGTAGGAAAACTCATCAGTCTAGCCCACACACCAGACTAGACATGGCATCTACAGCTAGTGTGTTGAGTCTGTTTATGCTCGATCCATGAAAGAGACAAATTATTATTCTAGAAAAAAAGAAAATTATCCATGGTGGTATTTACAAATTTAGACTATGCAAATTTGACTGTAGATAGGAGATGCACTACAGAGTATTGCATGCTCTTGGGTTGAATTTTGGTGTCATGGAGAAATAAGAAAAATTTAGTTGCAAGGTCAAGTACAAAGGAAGAATTTTGTGTTGTTATGGATCAAAATCATACTTGATCACCTCAAAATAAAAAAATAATCTCCTATAAAACTATCCTGTGACAATAAGTCAGCCATTAGCACCCAACTTCTGAGATACCAGTATATCAGCATGTAAGAAAATGTCCAAGTATTGTGAAAATCTGTTAAAACACTTTTTTTCTTTGTTTTTCAGAGATTCCATGATGGACCCTTCAACTGTATTTGGAATGCTTTTCGGAAGTGAATTTTTTGAAGAATATATTGGAAAACTTGCACTTGCTTCTTTAGCATCTATAGAAGTTGAGGAAGACTCACCGGAGCCTCAAGTTCGTATGCAAAAAATTCAGGAAAAGATGAAAGTATTATTTTTATCCCTAATGCTCTAATACTGTTTATTTTTTTCGGTCCATTGTAAAGTTTCCTACTTGGGTAACTAAAGCTACTTCATACCGTTTTATCTGTAGGCATGGCAGAAGGAAAGAGAACAGAAGCTGATATCGGTTCTGAAAGACCGTTTGCAACCATTTGTTGATGGTCGAGAAGAAGAATTTACAACATGGGCAAATTCAGAAGCGAGTAATCTTTCAAAAGCTGGTAAATCCCTTCCGTTTATCCTGTAATTTTAATGGTGTATTATTGAACGATGATCCTGAATTTCGAAGTTTTAATAACTGAAGTTTATTGTTATCAAGGATATCAATTTAATGTCTATACCGAATTGCTAACACGAGTTTTTTAATTTGCCATCAATTGGATCTTTTTGAGCAATATTGGAGGTTTCGATACTCAATGGCTTGAAAGAACTTATTATTCATTTTTTGACACTTCAAGTTTTGTTTAACTGAACTCTGTTATTCAAAAGCATGGATTTCATCATACAGATTTCTCTTCCTCTCTACAGTTTTAATCTCTAACGGCAACCATAGTGCAAGTGTTTGTTCACTCCCGGTTTTTTCCTACTCCTTGAATTCTGTTAACATCTGACATTGTTTTCAGCTTTTGGAGAGGCCATGCTACATACAATTGGTTACATCTACACACGAAAAGCAGCAAAAGAAATCGGAAAGGATATTCGCTATATGAACGTTCCCTTCTTGGCCGAGTGGGTTCGAGACAAAGGACACCGTATAAAGTCACAAGTGACAGCAGCCTCAGGTACTAGACTAACTAATATAATTGTGTAATCTATCAAGTTGAAAGGGGTTCTTAGAGTTGGCAGATTCTAACGGAACTTAACTGCTACTTTAGGAGCTGTGTCCCTAATTCAAATACAAGAAGAGCTCAAGAAGCTAAATCAAGGAGAAAATAAAGAAGAAAATGTAATGAAAGCTCTTGAAGATAAGAAGGAAGCCATGGTTAATTCCTTATGGCGGATAAACGTGATTGATATTGAATCAACTCTGTCGCATGTTTGCCAAGCAGTAAGTTGCAGTGTTTTCTGTCCATACCTTGAAAATAATACTAACTTGGATCTATGTTTTTTTCTGACCATCAAATCAGAATTCATAAGTTACAAGAAAATACTCTTATTATTTTTCTCAGGTTCTTCGAGATCCTACTGTGTCGAAAGAAGTTCTGAAGTCTCGAGCCAAAGCATTGAAAATGTTAGGAACTATCTTTCAAGTAAGTGTTTTTGTCGAACTCTGACGTTAATGCATCAATTTGCATTCTATCTAAGATTACTTCATTTTACTTCTGAGGGTGCTAAGGTTGCTTTTAGGAGAGAGAATAGTCTGCGCCGAGAAAGCGAGAATCGGGTAGAAGCTGGTCCCTCAACATAGTCATCTGAACTGCTCAATAGGACTAAGTTGATCATTTTCTCATGGCTGTTTGGATTTCAATGAAATTTGAACCTTATGTATTGTGTTAAAAGAAAAGAAGGAAACCACAGTGCAATCTGCATGTAAGTTTCTAATTTATAGCGTGTAAAGCAATTAATGACTTGTGTTATTATAACTTAGTGTGCATTCTAAATTCCTATTTCATTGGGAAGATGATTTATAGATGGCCATTTTAATTAATTTGTTTGTTTTTGTTGTGATAGCCTATATTTCATTTTAAGGCTAATGCTAATCTATATTGGGAATATTTTGTTTGGGTGAAAGACTATTTTTCTTCCATTTTTATCATTAGTTTATTGTGTTATTTACCGAATAATTCTCATTAAATTATTAGTATTAACTTTCACATAATTTTTTATTATTAATTTTACATATCATATTTTTAAAATTATATTTAAATTATATTTTTGACATAAGACAGTCGGATGCGTGGCTGTACTGTACGCTAGTAAAAAATAATTTTAAATTGTACAATCTACTATCTATATATACAAATTCAATTGTATGAACTTCCTAAATTACTCTTTCATCACAAATTATTTACGCTACCAAAAAGATATTTTAGTAATAAATTAATATTTATTTTTTTTTTCATTCTCATCTACTACTGCAACATGACAAGTGGCACTCATTTTCTCTTTTCATTTAAATTTCAAATTTTTCTCACATTCTTTTTTTCCACACTTTTTCCCTTTCATTTTAATTTTTTCTCACACTTTTTCCCTTTCATTTTAATTTTTTTCTATCTATTTATTATCACTAAAAATACTATTAATCAATTTTTTTAATTTTAATAAAATTAAAATTTTATTTATCTCATGGGTCACTTTCAACACATCTATTTTATTTTAATCAATAATTATTTTTATTGATTTTTTCTTCTTTTAATACAATTAAATTTATATGATTATTGTTTATTTTACAATTAAATAAATCATTTTAAATTTTGCATTTGTATCTAAATATATTTTATATCATATCAATTTTTTTTATTTTACAGGTTATTATCAGTACAATTTCTATTTTATTTTTATCAACAATTTGTCTTAATTTGAAAGACAAAATTTTTATTTCAAAATAACTTTCTTCATCTCACGAGTTATTTTTTCCTTTTCGCATAATTATTTGATACAATTGAGTTTATATAAATATTTTTCATTTTAAAATTAAGTAACTAATTTTAAATTTACATATTTATATAAATACATTTACATTCTATCAAATAAACTTTCTATTTCACGGATCGCTATTAGCACAATACATATTTTATATTAATCAATAATTATCTTAATTTAAAAGATAAAATTCTTATTTTTAAATATTAAATATTCTTTTTTTATCTCACGAGTTCCTTTTTTTCTTTGTATTTTAATACAATTGAAAATCATTGCTAATTTCAAATTTAAATACATATATAAATACATTTTATATTATACTAAATTTATATATAAATTTGAATATCTTTTATATCATATCAAATAATTTTACCCGTGCTTCCGTACGGGTATCTTACTAGTTTGATTAGATAATTCAACGTGTTAAATTAAAAATAAGTTCCATTAAATAATCCATCTACAAATTAATGGATTAGATCCAATTCCTCAATTTAAACATCAACATATTTTAAATCTAATAGATCAATTTCAAAATAAAATAATAAAATATATTTATATAATTTTAAGACTAAATAATTTAAATTATTCTTTATAAATGTTATAATAATATTTTTTTAAATCTTTCTCTCTCACTCTTTTTTCCTCTCTCTTTCTCCTTTTCACTCTATAACTCTTTCTTTTGCTCCCCTTCTCTCCCTTCATGGCCCTTCTCTCTATCTCTGAATTTTTTTATGAAATATTAATTTTTTTTATGTAGTCTAAAAAAAATATTAATGTAGAAAAAGTATTTAAGAGATAAAAATTTTAAAAAGATTGTAAAAGTTTTTTTAAAAAATAAATCGGGTTAAAAGTATTAAATTTAAATATTTAAATTAATTTTATGAACATATTAATATTTATTTATTGAAATAATGTTAACAGATGAGATTTTATCTTTAATAGACGAATTAAATTTAACTTATTTAAAGAAATTTTAATAAACTATTAATAGGTTAAATAATTGCTTTGATGTATTCATTAACGTTTAAATTTAAACTTATTTGATTTATTCATTTTGCCATCCTTAGCTGCTATAGTAACATCGAATAACAAGTATAAGTCGCATAGCATGTTGGTTTATAATTTAAGACATATTTGGACACACAACAAATAGCTTATAACATAAGTATTTATTATTGTAAGTCTTTGGATATGTTTGATTTATAAAAGAATAAGTACGGGATATAACAACACTAAATAAATGATTGAGTTACATGACAATTTTTTGTGTTCTACTGTGTTTGTAGGTGGTATTTGATGATCAAAATATACAATTTTTCACAAATTTCTTTTATTTTATTAATTTATTTTTATTTTTTGATACAATTCTTTCAATATGTTGATATACTCAACATAATAATAATATACAATTTACTGTAATATCCTTTGCGAATAAATAATACACTCATATTTTAAAAAATTATATTTTTATACATAAAGTTAATTTTAATAACCAAAAATAAATAAAAGTTATATCTGATATATAAGTCAAATAAATATTGTTATGGACTGGGCCAGTATTTACCTCACAGTCGGGCAGGCCCAACCCAATATCATATTGGGAAGGTTCAGCAAGGTCCAATCCTCCTCCTTGTCGGACACGCTCTGCTATCTGGCAGGCCACTGCCTAGCACGGGGAGAACTCATGCGTCTTCCCCACGTTCTCCACGTGTTCCCCGCACGGGGACACGTCATTAGACAACTATCCGTGTCCTAAAGAACCGGTCTTCCACCTTCCGAGGATCGCGGGGTAGTTGAAATAAGGTGAAGACCACGTGCAGGTCTTCCCTATGCCACGTAGACCCTGACAGTTACTTGTGTTAGGCCTGACAATCCAGCCTAATGCAATGTAACTATTGGCCCAACGCTGGGGACAAATTATAAATACCCTCTTTCACTAGAGGGTCAGGTATTCTGAATTCTACATCTTCTTTCTATAGTTGCTCTCTCTAACTCCGTTACTCATTTTAGCATCGGAGTACCTTGAAGATACACCCCTTCCTCCTCTCCAACACCGTTGAACACAGGAACTCAGACGCGTGGCAAACTACTGATCCTTTTCTGATCTGGTAAGATCAGTGGTGCCGTCTGTGGGAACCCTTTGCTCCCCTGTTCTTTCTCCTATAGAAACATAGAAGCTTAAGAACCAAAGCAGTTTTCAACCTCCATTTGATCATGGCCAGCCCACGCAATGACAATGCTCCGGAAACCGCCTTTGCTCCGTTCACCAACGGTGACAGTCACGACCCCAACGTGACTGTTCACGTCGAAGAGGGTGACTCTAAGGACGGACACACCGCCTTTCCCTCCTCGGAAGACGCGACCTTCAACGCCGCCTGAGGCTTTGATAGCCTGGCTGTCTACCAGCCGATCCCGGTGTCGCATAGCGCCGACCCGACCATGGTGGCTCTATTCGCGACGATCAACCAGACAAATCTGATGATTTCCCAATAGAATGAGCGGATAGGGATACTCGAGAAGGAGCGACAATCACGCTCTCCCCAGCGGAGACATCGTCACCCTATTTCTAGCAGTCCCCCTCCTCCCCTGCAGAGGACACGACACGATGAATCTCGGAGCCCTTCTCCCCGACAGACTGAGCATCGTCCTTGTTTGGAGCGGCCTTAGCCAGTAGCCATCCAGAAGCTCGACCGATCCCCTTCTTGGAAGGAGCGACGCTCCTCCACTCATAAGAGGAATAATGCTGACGGATGTGTCGAGAAGCCAAAGAGCTGGCCAAGGAGTCCTCCCCGACGAAACAGAAACAATCAGAGTGACCTTTCCCCTTCTCGATCACCTGTCAAGAGTGACGAGGACGACCAGTGCACACCGCTATCCAGGGCCATTAGGGAGACTCCCTTGCCCGTCGAGACGGAAAACCCCCCGCCCTTGGTGACTTATGATGGCACGACCGACTCGGATGACCATATCGAAAGCATCGATGCGATGCTTGACTATCATAATGTTTGGGGAGCCATCAAGTGCAAACTCTTTCCTACTACCCTAAGGAAGGGTGCTATGGCGTGGTACAAGCACCTCACACCCGAATCCATCACCTCCTAGGGGAAATTGAAGAGGCAGTTCTCCAGACACTTCACAGTTTCCCCGTGCCATCCGAAGACAGAAGCATCCCTCGAAGATATCATCTAGGAAAAAGACGAATCTCTCCGGGATTACATAGAGAGGTTCATGTGATTACAAAGTAATCGACAGGTAAACACAAAGCATCTTAATCATAAAGAGAAATAAAAAATGAAATAAAGCACGCATTGATCAGAAGTTAATCAAGAATTAATCAACGTAGGCATCAAAATCAAGATTTACAAGAGAATGCTAACAACACTTGCCAAAATTAATATCAACATTAATAAAAAAAAAAGTAACATCAAAATTAAAATCTAAGTCTAGTCAAAATTATTAAAAAAAAATCACCAATTAAAATCTAATCACAAGATTAATGTTAAAATCTAAAAATTACAATTAAAAATCTAAATTAAAACTTGATTCAAGATTAACTCCTAAAAAAAAAAATCTAATTCTAACATAAAGATCTAAATCAAAGTTAATTTCAAAATTAAATTTTAATAATCTCTAATTAAAATCTAAAATTTCAAAAATAACTAATCTAATTATCCAAAATTAATTAACTAAAAATAATTACTAAAACCAATTAACCAAAACACATTTATCTAAAATTAATTATCAACTAAATTATCTAAAAAACCATTAACTAAAATAATAAAAAACAAAAAAAATTCAAATAACCAAGACAATTAGTATAAGAGT